GCAGAAAGAGAAAGACAGACTACCTTAACAAAGAGGGAGTTCTGAATTTAGATCTGTAAACCCTAAATTTAAATCAAGACGAGAACCAAATAGAAAGAACTCCAAAATTAGACAGGCCTCTGGGCAAAAATCCTGATTCCTGTAAGATCAAAAAAGAAAGTGAAGGCTTCTTTGAAAGAATTTGAAAGGGTGCGGGTTGAAATGTACAAAATGAGCTTCGGTTTTGACGAAACCAATATAAATTTTTATATGATATTCTGTATGTTATGTATATGTGGATGTGAGATTTTTATATGCACCATGAACTATTACGTTGTTTTGTCTTTTATATTTTTGATTTTTGCGGGTATTGCGTCATCAATGGTACAGCGCATTGTGGCTCATATTTCAAATTTAAAATTTTAGTTAATTTTAGAGCCTGTTTGGTAAAAATTTTCATTTTCTACAGTAAATCAATTCTCATTTTCAACCACACATTCTTCAATAAAATAATATTTTCCATCACATCAATACTTTTTTCTTCTTTTTCAACCACACATTTCCCATCATATCACTATTCAAAAATCAATTNCAGTAAATCAATTCTCATTTTCAACCATACATTTTTCAATAAAATAATATTCTCAATCACATCAATACTTTTTTCTTCTTTTTCAACCACACATTTCCCATCATATCACTATTCAAAAATCAATTCTTCCTCCAAAAATCACTACCAAACACACTCTTAAGCACAACTACAAATTACTTTTTCCTTTTCTTTGTAAAAAAAAAGTATTTTATTGTTATGAAATATAATTATAATTATCACTTTTTTGAAAAATAATATATTTTTTAAAATTACAACGCTACATGTTAACAAGTGAACTTGACAACATCGTATGAAAAAAGAGGGAAAAGTAAATTTTAATTAATTTTTTATAGTTCAAAATTGTCTCTAAATTTTTAATATTTCTATTCTCCTTAGAAATATTTTTGTTCATATGGAATTTGTGGAGTTGTGCAGATCGAGTGAAAATAGAGATAAATAAAAAGTGAGATAACGATAACAAATATTATGGGGAAAATGGAATTCAAATTTATAAATTTTGTCAAACAAGGGCTTAATAAAATAATAAAAAGATGTTGATGATGAGAAGTTGGTTTAATTTACTAATGAAAAGATTAAGATATTTTGAATTAGTTAAAACTTGACTTTTAGATTGAAAAGCTTGAAGAATGATATAATGAGTATCGGTGCTCATTTTATACTAAATACCGATAACATGTCATATTAATTCATTGGTGGATAGGATTGACATGTCACCACTGCTTAGCATCAGTTGAGCACCGGTACTCATTAGATCATTCATCTGAAAAGTCCAATACTTAACAAAAGGTAGAGTTGAAAACGACACATAAGAGTAGATATAATTTAATGATTTTTCGATTTTGACCGCAACCTTAGCACAGTAAAAAATGACATGAGTTGTCATAATGCCTTTTAATTAACTTTCCCCTCATGTTTTCATTAACCCTTGGTGGCTTAAATTATCAATCACGTTTACCTTTAATAATCAAACTACCAAACCCAACTAAGTTTTTAACTTTTTTTTTTTCTTCATATCATTAAAAGTTATATTGAAATTTTGTATCGAAAATTGGTTGTGACAAATTTAAATGATTTAAGCGGTGGTGAATGAGAAATTAACCTAAATTTAAGCCGCTTAAACACTTGAAA